AAGAAGAGTGGACTGACTTTAGCGTGATTCTCGGTCAAGATCATCAAAGGTTAGTCTGGGACCAGCCATGGGCTGTCAGGAATAGCTCTTGGAGGCATGCGGTTGTGTCGTGACTCGGTTTTGATAACTCAGGATTGACCGCTACGTGGCCGCATGCTTCTGTGTTTGCAGATGTACCATTGGCAACTGTTTTTTTTTTGTTTTCCAATTTTAACTCTGACTAAGTGAGACATTTCAGGATGGTTCGAGCATACACCGGTGCAGCAACTATTGGGTTAGGATCTCTCAGACCCTCAGAACAGACCGGTGTACTCTCCAGAGCAGAGGTATTGCTTTGCAGTATATTTGAGTTGCTCAGGTTTTAAAATTGTCTGACATTTCCACCATTTTCGATTTTCTGAAGATTTTTGAGTAATAATACATGAACTTCTTCATTTCCCTCCCATCCAACCAAAAGTTGACGTGTTGGTTTTGGAGGTTTACGGTTGTAAATGGGGGAGGGGGGAGGGGTGAGTTAAGGTTATGATTCATGATTGTCACACATAGTCTTTCTTTTGTGAATGGTACGACATTCCATGGTTTTCCTTTCTCATTTCGGCATTCTGCTGCGGTAACGGAACATTTTGACTTACTGATATGAAGTTTTTCTCACAGACATCTTTAGCTCGGGATTGGGTGAATTTAACGGTAAGGAAATCACAATCTTTCTCAAAGATGTCTTTTCCGGTGACTTAGAAAGTTGTACTAGTATTTACAAGGGTGCAAAGCTGGTGAGCGAACTTGGTTCTGTGGGTCACGGATTGACCTAATGTAATCATAAGCCTTAAGTCAGTGTCAGAGCATGGGCGATCGAACATACACCAGCGATTCAAGAGTGTGAGAAAATGGTGAGAGTCTTTCTCTCATTTACACCCTCTCGCTACTTTCCCACTCTCTCGAATCGCTTATACATCGTTTAAATCGTGAGTGCAGCGTTCAAAACGCTTACGCATCGCTCGAACCGCTGCCATTGCCCAAAATGCTGGCCCATCGCTCACACTGCTTCCTCATCGATCGAGTAGCTAGGCGCACAGCTCGTCTCCCGTGATTCACTAGCAAGCCCGGATTCGCAAAGTCTGACACCGCCGATAGGAGGAGGGATTGCGCGGTGCATAATTCTATTTTTTTTCGCGGCTTTTCCCTCATAGGCTTGGTGCTTACCATGACCTGAAAAATCAAAGTTTTTCAAATATTAGTTTCGCACCTTTTTAAGTTTTTTTCATCTGTCTCGAATTTCCTCTTTCAAATTTTCCAGATCACCTCACCTCTGTCGTCACCGCAACGTTTCGGCACGGCGTCGATGGCGGGTGGGTTGCGCTCCCTTGCATCGTCCGAGTTAGGTGAGAGGACCGGACAGACGTTCTCTAGCTCGAGAAGTCAGGGCCTTCTAATCATACGCTTTTCAAGGAAAGGTTTTTGCAGTTTGAAAAATTTGATTCTCAGTGCAACTCAGCGTGAAGGGATTACCGGGTAGAAGTGCTAACATGACGACAACTTTTCTGTCCTTCAACAGGGATGCGGAGTGCGTGGCAGGCGGGAATAATATCGACTGTCGCCTTTTCAGATTTCTCACGCTGTGACTTCGTTTATTTCTGCACTGTCTGGTCGCAGCACTGGGACACGACGCCTAGAAGAATCGCACGATGTATTTGATGCGTGCTGTCTGACTAGCTGTCGTGCCGATATGCTCGCTCCGGGGTTTGCAGAAAGGCGTTGCCTTCCGATTATCTAAGAGTCATTGCAATTTGAAAAGTCGCTATAATTGCGACGGTCAAGGTCTCGAGCTGAATGGAGATAGATTTTTCTATCGTAGACTAGCTTGAACTTATATATTATATATCATCATCATTAGAGTAAATAATTAGACTCTCATATATGTTGACGAGCTTTTTCAAATTCATGTTCCATGAGGCACCTATGAGTTCATTGGACATCCATCACACGATGAGTATAGATGATACAATGTTTTGTTTCTTTGCAGGCCCTATTATGGTCTGTTCTAGTATGACCGATTTTCGGTAATCGCTATTCCTCCCTCGTTATTACTCAGGGTTTGCCATTATAACTGAAGTAAGAGGTTCTATAATGTCGTCAAACGTCTCATTTCAGAATCATGAGGTAGATTCGCGTAAGGAAGTCACGCTCCTGGCAAATTATACTAGTTATTATTTGTTGATTATCTATTGGCTCTGCTGATGAGAAGGGACTGTTGTTGTATTTCGTAGCTTGTCTAATAAATTTACAACACTATTTCAATCGGTTTTGTTTCGTGTTGTTAGATTGCATAAGTACTCATAAACTCTGCACTTGTGCTTTACTCAGGTAGTATATGATAGCGAAATATTGCTAAACGTTATTCCTAAATTGTGAAAGCGGCATGAATAACATTAGGCATTACCAGAGATCTATCCTCCTATATAACGATTTTCATCACATTTTATCTTACCGGCGATCCACTTTTCAATGGCCCCTCATTTAAAGCGGCCGCTGCGCCCAGTGTCAAACTTGAAGAAGTCTCAAACGATGATGTTCTTCTGCGTTCCTTGTGCGATGCTGATTCTCAGCACCCACTAGGTGTTTAAAGGACGAATTCACGATGAAAAAGCAACCCATTTCAAATTACGTCAGGTGATGGGTGGTGGGATAAACTACGCTGGAAAATACTCAGTGGAGGACTAAATCTCGATATAGAAGACTGATACATGATCGCCAGAGAGATATCAGGTATTCCCAAGATAACTTCTTTCACCCTTGTGCAGTGATTCGCTTGCGTCTAGTCGAATTCGTTAAGCATGAAGTAATTGTGTTTGTTTTTTTAATGTATTCACAGGTCAACATGGCTATATTTCGATACCGCGTTGTCCCCACTTAGCTTCTTCTAACTAAATTTCCTCTCTAACTTCATTGCAAATTCCAGCGCGTGGGTTGCTTATTACAGTTTTCACTGATCTTGCAACATGTTAATGAATTAGAACCGTGTCTGCGGGGGTTGGACCCCGTGGCCGTCGTCGCGGCACTCATCTGATCTAGGAAGTCGTGTGGATAAGCAGTTTCTAACATCTCTGCTGGATATCGGTCAAATTATGCTGGAAGCAGCTTAATCCGCGCAATTTCTACCAAGTGCGGCGGCCGCCACCTCAAACCAATGGGGCCGTGTGCTATGCTTCCCCGAAGCTAGGCGATTTGAAGTTTCCTTTAAATTTATTTGATTTGAACTGTATAGTTTCTTCATTTTCAGTGCATGTTCACTTCTACCTACATACATGCATGAACACGTTGACGATAGCATGACGCGCATGCGCGTCAGAATTCCGCCCGATTCTGGCCAGCCATTTTCGATTTATTTGGCATATTTCAAAACTGTGTGCATGCATGATCTTTCCGGAAAACTGTATCAATTACCAGAGAGGAAGTTATGACGTTTTGTGAAAAAAATAAAAACCTGCCGAGATATACGCACAAGGGGCTGTCGTCAACGTGTTAAATGTAGGCCCTTCATAAGGGCAATCCCAGTTGGGAAGAACAGAGAAAATTTAAAGGAATTTTTTGTCCCTTTAAAGCAACAATCCAGGAACGAATTCGCGGGTAAGGACCACCTATAATGACGTTGCAGGTGAGAAGTTGGTCAATGGAGAAAGAAAAAGTAGAAAAAACGTCGGGCAGGGGCTTAGACAGGGACTCCCCCTGCCGTTTAGGGAGACGTGTGTTGGACGAGTTGTCCGAACCTGCCCGTAGTACATGCGCTCCAATTGCAACTGCTGGCAAATAGCCATGCATGCTTGCAAATACATAACTATTTGCCAGCAATCGAAATTGAAGCGCTTCAATTGCGTTCTTATGGAATCGACCTCATACAGCGCGGCGGTCCCGCAACGACCGCTAGTCGAGCAAGCGCTCTGCACAGCTGCTTGGAGGCGGCCCCACCACGGATCGGTGGATCCGCCCCTCTTGAAGGATTTCGACTGCTTCCAACGCCTTTCAGAGGTAAGTTTTGAAGTTTGTGACATTTCCCATGAACTCCAATCAGGCTGAGGCATGTTTCCACCACTTGAAAACCAAATGGTTGAAACCCTGCCTGGACTGTTGCTTTTTAACTCCTTCGGGGAGCAGAGCATACGGCCCATGGACGCACCTAATCGGACCTCCACACATGGAGTGTATGTAAGCAGTCAAGTCCAACCTATAACCAGTACTGAAAAAAAACAAGCGGGAAGTGCGCCTCCTACTTTCTGCACGATTTGGGGCGCGGCCGCGGCGAGCGCGGCCGAGTCGATAGTGCCCGCGAACTGTGTGGGTAAATTTGAAAACGCATCACCACCACAGTTCGCGGGCACTATCGACTCGTCCGCGCTCGCCGCGGCCGCGCCCCAAATCGTGAAGAAAGTGGGGGAGCAAAGCGGAAGCTCATTGGGAGACGATTCTTGCACTTGAAACGCACTTTGAGATCAGAGCACGCTGAGCTTTCCTTACAATTAGTATTTTGATCTCATTTCCGGACCCCATCAGGTGTTACGGCCTTCTCTTCTTTCAGGCAACCATAGATAGGCTTATACCGTAATGGGAAAGCGTTCAGCATTCTTTTAGTTTATGCGTTATATTTTACGTACTCACGCCGAAAAATTGGAAACGGGGATGTTTTTCG